ACATAGTTATAAGCTCCCCTGGGTTCAATCTACATTACAAAAAAAGGAGGTTAACTCTTGACATGGATGTGAATAGAACTTGGGGAAAATGAAGTAGTTGATCTCACCTGTGAACCTCTAGAACCTGTAGTGATTGAATGTGTTAGTTCATGACTTTGTTGTGATTATTAAATAAAAGGGAAATTTCAAGTCCAAACTGGCAGCGTATGTGTGGAGCAGTGACAAGGGACAAAGAGACATGTTTGTAACTAACAGTGCCCATCATAATTCCCTGGGAGAAGAAGTCACATAGTACCTGGTTATATCTAGTGTTGAATTTGCATGAATGGGTACTCAGAGATTGAAGTGAGCAGACAACCCAACTACTCTATGGAGTGTGACCATAGTGCTGAGGGAAGTAACTCAGTGCTGAAACATTTGCCAGCATTGGCCAAGACCCTGGGTTTGGTTTTCGGCACATACAACAACAGCAGCAACCACAAAACCACATTGATTCCTGTGTATGTCCCTTTAATATACTAAAATCTGCCAGTTTGTTTGAAAAAAAAATTATCCCCTATCAGTACCACTTTATTTATATATGATATGTGCTTTGTTGCTCAGTACAGACAGATCTTCTGGCTAGATTTTCCATGTCACTGTGCAGAAACTATAGGTTGTTAGTATCCATGCTGTTTTAGTTAGTTAATTAATTAATTAATTAATTGGTACTGGGGATTGAATTCAGGAGTGCTTTACGACTGAGCTACAGCCTCAGTCTTTTTATTTATTTATTTTTTTATTTTTGAGACAGGGTCTCACTAAATTGCTCAGGTCCTTGCTAAATTGCTGAGGCTGACCTTGAACTTTTGATCCTCCTGTCTCAGCCTTCTGAGTCACTGGTGTTTATACCAAAGTGCCTGCCTCTATTTTTGCAATTTAAAAAATTACTATCTGGAGTATATAAAAAACCTCTAATTTTTTTTGTATGCTCTGAGACTTTTTGTTTCCTTCGGTTTAATACTTCAGAACTGGACTTTGGTTTTCATAGTGTGCTAGATGCTGATGGTTGTCCTCAAAGCAGTATTCTATTTTTCTATAGTTTGCATGTCATCCAAAGCTTCATATGTCAAAATTTAATCCCTACTTCGAGGTATTAAGAGGATGGAAATTTAATCCAACAACTATGGTGTTTGAAGGTAGGAATTTTGCAAAGTGATTAGGATTAGATAAAGTCATTGGGATTAGCAAAATGATGACTGAATCCTGATGGCTTTATCAGAGGGAGAGATACTAGCCAAACACGTATACACATACATGCATGCATGCTACCTATCTCTTGCCATGTGAAACCCTGCACTACACTGAGGCTCTGCCAGTAAGATGATCATTATTAAGTGTGGTCCCCTTCACTGGGCATCTCCAGAACTGTCATCTGAGCCAAAATAAACTCTTTTTTGTATATTGGGGATTGAACCAGGTTTTGAGCATGCTAAGAACAAACAGTACCACAGAGCTACACACCCAGCCCTAAACCTCTTTTCTTTATAATGTAGTCACTCTAGGATATTAGTAACGGAAAATGGACTAATGTACCTTGTTTTATCATAATCATCAATTTTAAGTTGGCCACATGGGGCCTATGGTGCCACATGAATGCAACATCCTAGAGATGGTGGAACAAGTAGACAAGATAGCATTTGGGAGACCAACAACATTGCAAACCAGAGACACAATACAATTTTTGCCTTTTGCTTAAGAGAGAAATAAATTTCACTGTTGCTTAAGCACTATTATACTGGGTTTATTAGGTTGACACATAAAATTAAGCATCACAATGGCTCTTATGCAGAGCAATGGGCTCTTCTTTCTTTTTAAATATTTTTATTTTTTAGTTGTAGTTGGATACAATACTTTTATTTTATTTATTTATTATTATGTGGTGCTAAGGATTGAACCCAGGGTCTTGCACATGCTAGATGAGTGCTCCACCGCTGAGCCACAACCACAGCCCAGGAAGTTAGTTCTTTCTAATCACCTCTCAGCACATTGAAGGGAATATGCAGATAGGGTGCTGAGTGGCCTGCAAGGCCAGACTACTAGAATCTAGAATTGTGGTTCATGCTCTCAGACCTGCCAGGACTACCTCTTTCACCTTGGCTATGCAGGCATGCTTACCTTCCAACACATTTTTCAGCTAATCAAATTGGCATGCTTCTCTGTAAACAAAACAATATCCAAGGGTCACAGGCCTTGGAAAGCACCCTGCTCATTTTTCTTTTGCAGAGAATCACATAGCACTCAAGAATCAGCCTGTATTTTAGAATGAGAAGGGATGAAACTTCTGTAGTGCTTTCACCCTCTGCCTCAGAATTATATGTACAGTAAAACTTGTTCCTTCCTTCCAGTGATTGCAGGGGCATTATCTACCCTGTGAAGGCACAGTTGTACCTGAAGCAGTGCCCATCCCTGTATCATGTCTGTCTATCCACTGCATTCTTTGGAATATTGCTCATACCCTAGACATCAGTTGCTTGACTTGGTGCAGATACACAAGATAAACATAGTATATGCATTTATTTATTTATTTATTGGCATTGGGGATTGAACTCAGGGCTTTACACATGCTACATAAGTGCTCTACCATTGAATTATATCCCCAGCTTGAGTGGTTTCAAAATGAAATGAGAAATAAAAATAATATGAGAAAGAAAAAACCTCAAAACATTTCTAAATATTATTTTCTCACTTTAATAGATTATCTTGTGTATGCCATTTTGGAGATTATTAATTGCTGACATAGCACAATGTGTCATAAACATGACTATTGATCAAAATACCCAAGGTGTCTATTAAATATAGGTTTTGCTTTTGCATGTATTATCCATGTGATTTCCCCCCCAATACTGGGGATTGAATTCAGAGACATTTTGCCACTGTGCTACATCCCCAGTCTGTTTTTTTTTTTTTTTTTTTTTGGTACTTGGGATTGAACTCAGGGACACTCAACCATTGAGCCATATCCCTAGCCCCTATGTTGTATTTTATTTAGAGACAGGGTCTCACTCAGTTGCTTAGTGCCTGGCTTTTGCTGAGGCTGGCTTTGAACCCGTGATCCTCCTGCCTCAGCCTCCCAAGCCACTGGGATAATAGGCATGGGCCGCTTCTGGCTAAAAGTGGTTTTTATGACATATTAAACAGGATTAACCTTGGTCTGAGGAATTTGGTACTGCCCTGGTGCTCTCTTGTCACTTGTATGGATGTTCCAACAGTTTTGTTTCAGCCCATCTGAAAACCTTTTGAGCTATGGCAACTTTGGGGATGCTTTTGGTCTGAAGTGGCAACATTAAAAGTAGAAGTAAAACTTACATATTCTTTTTCTTCCATTTTCAGTTTCATGATATCATGCAGGGGGATTTTTGTTCATGGGCTATGTACAGATAGCTTTGACATGATAATTCTAATTTTATGGGGACATTAATCAGGGTGGCATTTAAGACGAGCTCTTCCATTCCCCTTTAGCTTTCAGAAGACCAAAAAAAAAAAAAAAATCCTACAACTTATGTTTTCTTCTCCTGGGGAATGGTATGAAGAAGGTGTGGAGCCTTAGATAAGGCTCTTCCAGCATCACTGACCCTCTAAAAGGAGGGCAAAGGGGCAGTCACTGTGGTGTGGTGTGACAGGGAAGAAACAGCCAATTATCCAAACAAAATGGCTTGTCTTCCTTTCTTATGGATAAGCACAAGCCACAGAAACAGCAGTTACTCTATTATCCAACCTAAAAAGAGAGCTGGGGATGTAGCTCAGTGGTAGAGCACTTGCCTAGTATGTGCAAGGCCCATACTGGGTACAGTCCCTAGCACTGAAGGAAAAAAAAAATTGCAGTGTGTTGCTGGGTGCTGCCTTTCATTCATTAATTCACTCACTCATTCAGCTAGCATTTATTAAATTTTTTAAAAAATATTTTTTAGTTGTTGATGGACCTTTATTTTATTTGCTTATTTATATGTGGTGCTGGAAATCGAACCCAGTGCCTCATATGTTATGAGGCAAGCACTCTACTGCCGAGCTACAACTCCAGCTCTGCATATATTAAATTTTGATAGAGCACTGGCTGTTTTAGCTATGATGAATAAAATGGTCCTTTCCTCTAAGAAATGCACTTTCTTGGAGAAGAGATAAGAAAATAGTTCTAATGAAAGAAATAATGCAGTGTAATAAAAGTTACTATAGAAATATCTGCAGGGTGCTGCTGAAACATAAAAGAGGAAATAATTCTGACTTCTCAATAACTTTCCTGGTGAAGGAGGAGCCCCCTGGAAGAAGGGACAGAATGTGCAAAACCAGAGAAGTATAGCACAAACTCCAGGGCAAAAGTTGTGAGTATTAAGGCTGGACAGTTAGATAGGAGATAAACATTTAAGAAAATATTGACTTAGAATAATTACTACTAAAAAAACTTGTTAACTCTGTAATGGCTCCTTATAGGTCACACAGATCACAGCAGTCAAGGTGTGAATCTCTGTGAGGTAAAACTGCTGAAAAAACTGTATGAAATGCTTTTTGAGGGCAGAAAGCTTTTTTTATTTTTTTGGTCTTCCTTGGCCTTTGCTACTTTCTCAGGGCTATTTCAACAGAATGTCAGAGGCGAAACAACTGTCAGTTAAAGCCTCTTGGTTGGTACCTTGATGCTGTCTGTGATGATCAAGAGCAGGGTGTTAGATTTATAGGCTGCTGCTGCTGTATCTTCTCTTATAAAATAGCCTTATTCAGGAATGGGGCTCTATGAAGCTTAATATTAGACTATCACTTCAAATCACACACATCAAAAAGAGAAAAGAAAAAAGAAAGAAAGAAAAAAGGGTGAGTTGATAAGTCATTCCAATCAGGGTTTCTCTTTCTTTTAAGCAACTGACAAACTGTCACGGAATCTGCCAGACTCCACACTGGCCTTGTGCCTTCTCTCCATCTCCTGAACTTTTCCTCTTCCCCTCATGGGCTCTGAGCCTATTCCTAGCATACAGGTCCTAGGCTCCTGGTCTGCAGCCATCCTGGTCCTACTGAGCTGATTCAAGTGTCCTGCTTCTGCTCCTGGTGGCCTGATGATCAAGCTTCATGGAGGTGAGTTAGTCTTCCAACGCAGCTGGTTTTCTGGATATGATGTGGAAAATAAGATCACAGAATGGGATATGAATTTTAGACCATGAAAGAAAATACATGGAAATATTTAACTTTGTACAGGTTGTAGCTTCTATATTTTCTGAAAACCTCAAAATCACTGAGAATTTAGAGAGGCTGGTAAGAAAGTAATGAAATCCACCATAGCTTTTTGAGAAAAATTAAATGCTATATAAAACTACCCTCTTTATTAATGTAATCACCTTATTAGTTTTTGATTAAAATTATTAAGTATAACTTGGTTTTCTTATTATACTATCACTCTTGATATATATATTTTTTTATTTGATGCAGAGCCTACTCTCCCAGGAGCTAAAAATTTTTTAAATTGAATTCCTTATCTTAAGATCCCTTCTAAAGAATTAAAGTCATCATACTACAGTGATACATGCATACTCATATTTATAGTGGCACAATTTAATAACCAAACTATGGAACCAACATGGGTATTCATCAAATTTTGAAGAGTAAATAAAATGTGTGTGTGTGTGTGTGTATGTGTGTGTGTGTGTGTGTGTGTGTGTGTATTAAATATGATGAAGTTTTATTCAGACATAAAGAAAAATGAAATATGTCATTTGCAGGAAAATGCAGAGAAACCATCATGTTAAGCAAAATATGTCAAATTCAGAAGGTCAAGGATCATATATTTTCTCTTTTTTTCTTTTTTACCTCCAGTGTGGAAGCTGGAGGTAAAAAAATTAAATAAATAAATAAATAAAAAAAAAAAACAGTGGAGGTGGATCTCATGAAAACCAAAGGGAGATGAATAAAAGGAAAGGGACAAGGGGTGGGAGGTGGGAAGAGACAGGGAAGTCCTGGGAGTGATATTGGTCAAATTATATAGTTAAATTTTGTGAATGTACAATTATGTAACAAAAAATCCCATCAGTGTGTACAATTATAATGCACCAATAAAAATGTGGGAAAAATCCTTTCAGAGCTAAAATAAAAGAAACTATATTCTTCTGAACTTAGTGTTCTTTTCATTGTGAGACAGACAAAAGAGAAAGTATATTTGCCACAAGAAAGCTGAAAAAACTCACTAAAATTAATTGACAAAATCTCAACATATGAGCCCTCATGTTCTGAGTTATCATTTCCACCAGTTTCTTCCTCTTATGATGTTTAAGTTCATTATATGTGCATTAATTATTAAGACCAGGTTCTTTCTGGTGCAGTGGCATATTCCTGTAATCCCAGCAACTTGAGAGACTGAGGCAGAAGGATCAAAATTTCAAGGCCAGCCTTGCAATTTAGTGATACCCTCAGCAACTTAGTGAGACTCTGTCTCAAAATAAAAATAAAAAGTACTGGGGATATAGCTCAGTGGTAAAGCACCCCTGAATTTGATCCCCAGTACCAATAAATAAATAAATAAGATCAGGTTCTAATTTCCTCTATCACAGGACCTTCAGGTTTGTTTTTACTCTTCTTTGCCCTTAGCTGTTGAAGGAAACAGGGGCTATAAACATTGTGTTTATAATTTTTAGAGGAAAAAAATAAACACTATTGTCTCCACCTATTATACTCTTATCCCTTTCAAGGCCAAGTCAGGAAAAATAGATACTTTTCTACAATAGTAAGAAAAATTGGTCCTGTGATAGTAAGCATTTCATTTCAAATATTCAGTCAGAGGCTGAAAAGTTATGAACTAAATGATCTAACATCTCTTTAAACTGTAAGAAACTCTAAAAACTCAACAAGTTCAGAATCTTTCTTTCCTTATTATGTGAAAAAGGCAAAACTTATGAAGCAAGGGTGCATTTTGCTCTTGAGTATGAGTTGGCTGTGCCATATGGCTTCTCTCTAGATGGATTGTATTTCTCTGTTCTTAGGTTAATTCTTCAAAATCTGCCCATCTGGGCTGGAGATGTGGCTCAAGCGGTAGCACGCTCGCCTGGCATGCGTGCGGCCCGGGTTCAATCCTCAGCACCACATACAAAGATGTTGTGTCTGCCGAAAACTAAAAAATAAATATTAAAAATTCTCTCTCTCTCTCTCTCTCTCTCTCTCTCTTTTCTTTAAAAAAAAAAAATCTGCCCATCAAAGTTTTAAAAACTTACTTTGGAGGACTAAAGTCTGGAAAGCAACAAATGAATGCCCCTTATATATTTTATTAACCTTGATTTAAAAAATTTGCAATCTAAATCTTCTTAGGAAAATAAAATCTTTAGGATAACAAATTTTCCTACAAATTTCTTCTTGTTTTTTAAATAATTATTTTTTATTTGTTCTTTTCAGTTATTCGTTACCGTAGGATATATTTTGACATACAAGCATTGAGTATAACTTCCCATTCTTGTGCTTTGTACATGATGTGGAGTTACATTGGTTGTGTATTCATATATGAACATAGGAAAGTTATGACTGAATCATTCTACTGTTTTTCCCATTCCCATCCTCCCTCTCTTCCCCCTAGCCTTTGGTTTTTGGGATTGGCTTATATCACTTAGCATGATAGCCTCCAGTTCCATCCATTTACTGCAAATGACATAATTTCATTTTTCTTTATGGCTGAGTAATATTATATTGTGTATATGTTCCACTTTTTAAAAATCTATTCATCTATTGAAGGGCACCTAGGTAGGTTTTTTCCATAGCTTAACTATTGTGAATTGAGCTGCTATGAACATTGATGTAGTCATGTCACTATAGTATGCTCATTTTAAGTCCTTATGATATATGCTAAAGAGTGGGATAACTGGGTCAAATGGTGGTTCCATTCCAGGTTTTTTGAGCAATCTCCATATTGCTTTCCAAGAGTGTTGCACCAATTGCAGTCTCACCAGCAATGTATGAATGGACCTTTTCTCCCATATCCTTGCCAACATTTATTGTTACTTATATTCTTGATAATTGCCATTCAGACTGGAGTGAGATGAAATCTCAGTGTAATTTTAATTTGCATTTCTCTAATTGTTAGTGATGTTAAACATTTTTTCCATATATTTGATGACCATTCATATTTCTTCTGTGAAGTGTCTGTTCAGTTCCTTTGCCCATTTATTGATTGAGTTATTTGTTATTTTGCTATTATTTTTTGAGTTATTTATATATCCTGGAAATTAATGCTCTGAGGTTCTTCTATGAACATTGATGTAGCTATTCACTAGAGTATGCTCATTTTAAGTCCTTTGGGTATATGCTGAAGAGTGGGACAACTGGGTATATATGGCAAGTTACTTAAAACAAATTTCTAATGACATCATAGCTCTTCTTGCCTTTTCTCTGTTCTGAGATGTTTGCAGTAAGTGGAAGAAGGAGGATGCACTTTCTTAGAAAGTGATTCCTACCAGCCACAACTTTGTAAAGACAAGATATCCTAAAAGATTTCCAGGTACTGGGCTGGGGATGTGGCTCAGGCGGTAGCAAGCTCACCTGGCATGCATGCATCCTGGGTTCGATCCTCAGCACCACATACAAACAAAGGTGTTGTGTCCACCTAAAAAATAAACAAATAAATATTAAAATTCTTTCTCTTAAAAAAAAGTGAATAAACCTTAAAAAAAAAAAAAAAACAAACAAAAAAAAAAACCAAGATTTCCAGGTACTGAAATTTAGAATCTCCTTTGGTTTCTTTTTTCTTTCTTTCTTTCTTTTCTTTTTCCTTTTTTTTCAAATTCAAAGCCTCTTTATTAACAGTAAATCCGGGGTTACTTTTTGTACCCACGGTTGGCCCTCCGGCCTCTGGCGCGCTCGAATTTCCTGCCCTTGGAGCGGACATAGGGTTTGGTGTGGCTCTGTGGGATCCCAGGAGCCTTGCCAAAATGCCGGTACACAGTACACTCTTGGCCCTTGCGAGGACCAGAGAAGAGGGCAGTGCCACGGCTCTTGGGGCCAGTTGGTCAAAGGAGAGGATCTTGCCCCCAGCCTTGAGGATGCGGCTGGGGCTTGGCTGCTCACACGAGGTGCGCACACCTTCAGTTTAGGCACCTCCTGAAAACGAACATCATCTGTTACAGTCCCCACGACCACAGCGGTTTTGTTTTCTCGGCCAGGAAGCTTCATCTTCCGGATCATCCCAGAGAGGGAGAGAGGTGGCCTATTGGTGGGACTCATGAACAACCTCTTCAGTACCACTTGGTTGAAAGTGGAATTGGTTCCTCTAGCCAGAAACCTGTACAACTTGACCAACAGCCTTAGTAGACTTCCTGGCTCTTGGGCTGCTTGCGTTGAACCTTTCTGTCCTTGTTGTGGCCTATGTCGACTCCCATGATGGCGCCTAGAGCTCGGCCTAGTCTGGAAAGAGAGAGCCTGGTTTCAATTTTTTACTTCTCTCCAGTGCAGTAAAAAGTTATTCCAGGTATTTTGCCTCATTCATTTGATCTTCTTAATAAATCCAGTTTCATAAAGCATATTGATTGGCCTTTTGCTGATTTAATGATTAAGATAAAAGGCTTTGGAGGCAGATAAGGAATTCAAATATGGGCTCCTTTACTTAATAACTGTGATCTTGGCAAGTTACTTAACCTCTCTAAGCTTCAGTTTCCTTAAAAGCGGGGTAATAATACCTATCTCATAGGGTTACATGATCGATGTCTTGTTATTATAGTAGAAGATGTGTTTTTTCTTTTTTTCTTTTTGGCGGGGGCGGGTACCGGGGATTGAACCCATGCATGCTTAACCACTGAGCCCACATCTCTAGCCCTTTTTAATTTTTTTCTTTTTAATTTTGAGACAAGTTTTGCTAAGTTTCTAAGGTTGGCTTTGAACTTGTAATCCTTCTGCCTCAGACTCCTTAGTTGCTGGGATTACAGGTGTGTGCCACCATGCTTGGCTAAAGGATTTATTCTTTTTTTTTTTTATTGTTGGTCGTTCAAAACATTACAAAGTTCTTAATACATCATATTTCACAGTTTGATTCAAGCGGGTTATGAACTCCCAACTTTACCCCGTATACAGATTGCTGTATCACATCAGTTACCCTTCCATTGATTGACATATTGCCTTTCTAGTGTCTGATGTATTCTGCTGTCTGTCCTATTCTCTACTATCCTCCCTCCCCTCCCCTCCCCTCCCCTTTTCTCTCTCTACCCCTTCTACTGTAAATCATTTCTTCCATTTATATTATCTTGTCTTACCCCTCCTTTCCTCTTATATATCATTTTGTATAACCCCGAGGATCGCCTTCCATTTCCATGCGATTTCCCTTCTCACTCCCTTTCCCTCCCACCTCTCATCCCTGTTTAATGTAAATCTTCTTCTCAAGCTCTTCGTCCCTACCCTGTCCTTGTTTACTCCCCTTATATCAAAGGGGTCATTTGGTATTTGTTTTTTAAAGATTGACTAGCTTCACTTAGCATAATCTGCTCTAATGCCATCCATTTCCCTCCAAATTCTATGATTTTGTCATTTTTTAATGCAGAGTAATACTCCATTGTGTATAAATGCCACATTTTTTTTATCCATTCATCTATTGAAGGGCATCTAGGCTGATTCCATAATCTTGCTATAGTGAATTGTGCTGCTATGAACATCGATGTAGCAGTGTCCCTGTAGCATGCTCTTATTAGGTCTTTAGGGAATAGACAGAGAAGGGGAATAGCTGGATCAAATGGTGGTTCCATTCCCAGCTTTCCAAGAAATCTCCATACTGCTTTCCAAATTGGCTGCACCAATTTGCAGTCCCACCAGCAATGAACAAGAGTGCCCTTTTCCCCGCATCCTCTCCAGCACTTATTGTTGTTTGACTTCCTAATGGCTGCCAATCTTACTGGAGTGAGATGGTATCTTAGGGTAGTTTTGATTTGCATTTCTCTGACTGCTAGCGATAGTGAGCATTTTTTCATGTACTTATTGATTGATTGTATGTCTTCCTCTGAGAAGTGTCTGTTCAGGTCCTTGGCCCATTTATTGATTGGGTTATTTGTTATCTTATTGTCTAATTTTTTGAGTTCTTTGTATATTCTGGTTATTAGGGCTCTATCTGAAGTGTGTGGATTAAAGATTTGTTCCCAGGATGTAGGCTCCCTGTTTATCTCTCTTATTGTTTCTTTTGCTGAGAAAAAACTTTTTAGTTTGAGTAAGTCCCATTTGTTGATTCTAGTTGTTAACTCTTGCGCTATGGGTGTCCTATTGAGGAATTTGGGGCCCGATCCCACAGTAAGGATTTATTCTTGAGAGACAGGCCAACTGGAAGAACCTCAACTGGCAAGATGAATTAACCATAAAATCCCCAATCAATCATATTGTATGAACAACCAATATCATTAAACATATTTTTCATATCATAATTTCAGTCTTTTAAAATGTACAATTCAGTGGTTCTTGGCATATTCTCGAAATTGTACAACCATCACCACTATCTTAATTCCAGAACATTTTCATTATCCCCCAAAGAAATCCCAAGGCCATTATCAGTCACCTCCAAACCCCTTTGACCCAGTCTTGGCAACTACTACCTACTTCAAATATATTTTAAAAACACATTGAAAAATGACATCCACTTTCAAAAGAAGCTGGAGTTGTCGCTCATTGGTAGAGCACTTGCCTAGCACGTGTGAGGCACTGGGTTTGATCTTCATCATCACATAAAAATAAATAAATAAAATTAAAGTATTGTATTCATCTGCAACTAAAAAATATTTTTAAAAAATATTTATTTTTTAGGTATAGATAGACACAACACAATGTTTTTACTTTTTATGTGGTGCTGAGGATCCAACCTGGGTCCCTCCCACGCTAGGTAAGCGCTCTACCGCTAAGCCACAATCCCAGCCCTAAAAAAATATTTTTTTAAAAAAGAAGAAGAAGGGGCTTGGGTTGTGGTTCAGTGGTAGACCATTTTCTTAATGTGTGAGGCACTGGGTTCAATTCTCAGCACCTCATATAAATAGAAAGATAATAAAAGAATTAAAGCAGCAGCAGCAGCAGCAGCAGTGGCTGGATTTACCAGCACAAACTAGCTCTGGTAGGTAAGGTACCCTTTCTCCTAGATCATCCCCTGTTGGCTGGGTTCTCCTACAAGTTTTGTTTTATTCAGAAAGCATCTGTTTTTAAAGTTTTCAAGACAGTCCTGGCTGGCTTGAAATGCATTTTTTTTTTCCTGTACTGGGAATTCCACCCAGGGCTTCTTGCATGCTAGACAAGTGCTCCATTGCTGAGCCACAACCCCATCCTTTTTTTAAAAATTTTTTAATTTTGAGTCGGGGTCTAACTAAGTTGCCCAGGCTGGCCTTGAATTTGGGATCCTCCTACCTTAGCCTCCCAAGTAAAAATGCAAATTTTTTGTACTTGAATATTTTTTTCTGGGTTTGGTCTTTTAGCACATTGAAAGGATGGAGAATAAACAGATTTTGTTCTCTTCACTTTCACATAATTTCTCACTCAGTCTGGAACAAAAAATGAAGTACTCTGTTTTTGAATATTTTGTTATCTTTTGGTTAATGAAATTTAAATGAATTATTAACATGTAAAAGGACAGTAAATTAAAGTTTTTCAATGTATAGCACTACCATGGAAAAGAAGACTAGAAATATGAATTTTCAACATATTGAAGAGAATTCTGAATTCTGGCCTTTAAAAAACTAACAAAAAATTATCTTGGTAGGCTACAAAGAACAACAGAAGATTTTGGAGGGTTAATAATCATTATTAACTAGAGCTTGCAAATGATTAGATGATAGGGCATGAAGAAGATAATAAAATATCTAAAGATAATTCTGATTTAAAAACTGGAAGACTTGTAATGCAATTAATAGATATAGGGAAGTCAAAAGAAGGAAAGAGAGCTGGGTGTGGTGGCACACGCCTATAGTCCCAACTACTTGGGAGTCTGGGAGTGGAAGATCTCTTGAGCCCATACATTCAAGACCAGTCTGGGCAACATAGACAATGTTTAAAAAAAAAAAGGCAAAGAAATAATAAAAAGAAGAAGAACAACAGAAGGAACTGATTTGGGAAAAAATGATTTCTATTCTAGTAATATTGGTTTTGAAGGACCCAGTCATAGGCTCAGAGATTCAGATTTGATAGTTACTCATATAGAGGTTGTATATGAAATCATGTAATGAATGACTAATTTGGTAAGAAGAATATAGAGTGGAGCTAGAAGAGAGCTGAAGACAGACCATGCCATTGTCCACACTTAGAATGAGAAGAGTAAGAGAAACTAACCAAGGCAGAGGAGGGGCCAAAGGAAGGAGAACTAGGACAGTATCACTTCACAGGGGCCAAAGAATAAATAAGTCAAGAAAGATGAAGGTTGAGATTGTCATTAAATGAGTGTTTAGCAAACTCTACCAAATGAGTATCTAGCTGAGGTAAAGGGTCTATTAAAAGGGCAGAGATTCAAGATAAGCTACCTTAAGCAAAGAGAAAACCTCACTTATTATGAGGATAAATGTTTATTACTCCAACACATGTTTTGGGCCCCTACAATGACAGAGCATCTTGCTAGGAAGAATCAAAGGACAGTGTAGTGGTTAATATAAAACAGCCACT